ACGACAGAACGACGAACACACCACTGACCACTGTCATCATCTCCACACCAACAACCGACACATCCTATGCACCAACAGACATCACCTCGACAACCACAACCGCAACCACAAACACAACCACAACAACAACCACAAGCAAAACAACATGGACACCGGAAACAACAACAACAACAACAACAACAACAACCGTCAGCTCAGACACACCAGACAGCTATCCGTCACAGGACACAACTCACATTCCCACCTCACAATCCACAATAGCCTCGAGCACAGACATGTCGACAACCAGCTCGCCGACTTCACTCGCCACCGACACTGCAGTGACAGACACTGAATCTGCCAGCACCACTGACCAGCTCATCCACACACAGTCGACCTCCCACATCGCCGCCACCACGACGACAGACACTGCTCAGTCTGAGTCGGCCACTCCCAGTGTGACTGTCAGTGCAACCGACACAACCGACACATCGCACACAGACTCATCTCATACCACCACGGAAACAACCACCACGATCATCACCGCCAGCGTCACCGCGACTCACACGTCCACTGACACCACAGATGCTCACGCCGCCAACACCACCACCGACGAACACGACATCGGCAGCGACACCACAGACACACACACTCACACAGACACACCCACCACCGCCTCCACCAGCACGACAACATCCACAATGACCACTGACGCCACGGCTGCAAGCACCACCACCAACACAACATCAACAACAGCAACAACAACCACAACCACAACCACAACCGACCACGCCACCGACATCCACATCACCACCGATCAACAAACCACCGCCGACACACACACCGACACCCACACTGACACTGACCAATCCGATATCGCCGTCACATCCACCATCACCACGATCGACACAACGACAACTACCACTGCCTCCGACACCTCAGAACTGTCGACATCCACTGTGACAAGTGACGACAGAACGACGAACACACCACTGACCACTGTCATCATCTCCACACCAACAACCGACACATCCTATGCACCAACAGACATCACCTCGACAACCACAACCGCAACCACAAACACAACCACAACAACAACCACAAGCAAAACAACATGGACACCGGAAACAACAACAACAACAACAACAACAACCGTCAGCTCAGACACACCAGACAGCTATCCGTCACAGGACACAACTCACATTCCCACCTCACAATCCACAATAGCCTCGAGCACAGACATGTCGACAACCAGCTCGCCGACTTCACTCGCCACCGACACTGCAGTGACAGACACTGAATCTGCCAGCACCACTGACCAGCTCATCCACACACAGTCGACCTCCCACATCGCCGCCACCACGACGACAGACACTGCTCAGTCTGAGTCGGCCACTCCCAGTGTGACTGTCAGTGCAACCGACACAACCGACACATCGCACACAGACTCATCTCATACCACCACGGAAACAACCACCACGATCATCACCGCCAGCGTCACCGCGACTCACACGTCCACTGACACCACAGATGCTCACGCCGCCAACACCACCACCGACGAACACGACATCGGCAGCGACACCACAGACACACACACTCACACAGACACACCCACCACCGCCTCCACCAGCACGACAACATCCACAATGACCACTGACGCCACGGCTGCAAGCACCACCACCAACACAACATCAACAACAGCAACAACAACCACAACCACAACCACAACCGACCACGCCACCGACATCCACATCACCACCGATCAACAAACCACCGCCGACACACACACCGACACCCACACTGACACTGACCAATCCGATATCGCCGTCACATCCACCATCACCACGATCGACACAACGACAACTACCACTGCCTCCGACACCTCAGAACTGTCGACATCCACTGTGACAAGTGACGACAGAACGACGAACACACCACTGACCACTGTCATCATCTCCACACCAACAACCGACACATCCTATGCACCAACAGACATCACCTCGACAACCACAACCGCAACCACAAACACAACCACAACAACAACCACAAGCAAAACAACATGGACACCGGAAACAACAACAACAACAACAACAACAACCGTCAGCTCAGACACACCAGACAGCTATCCGTCACAGGACACAACTCACATTCCCACCTCACAATCCACAATAGCCTCGAGCACAGACATGTCGACAACCAGCTCGCCGACTTCACTCGCCACCGACACTGCAGTGACAGACACTGAATCTGCCAGCACCACTGACCAGCTCATCCACACACAGTCGACCTCCCACATCGCCGCCACCACGACGACAGACACTGCTCAGTCTGAGTCGGCCACTCCCAGTGTGACTGTCAGTGCAACCGACACAACCGACACATCGCACACAGACTCATCTCATACCACCACGGAAACAACCACCACGATCATCACCGCCAGCGTCACCGCGACTCACACGTCCACTGACACCACAGATGCTCACGCCGCCAACACCACCACCGACGAACACGACATCGGCAGCGACACCACAGACACACACACTCACACAGACACACCCACCACCGCCTCCACCAGCACGACAACATCCACAATGACCACTGACGCCACGGCTGCAAGCACCACCACCAACACAACATCAACAACAGCAACAACAACCACAACCACAACCACAACCGACCACGCCACCGACATCCACATCACCACCGATCAACAAACCACCGCCGACACACACACCGACACCCACACTGACACTGACCAATCCGATATCGCCGTCACATCCACCATCACCACGATCGACACAACGACAACTACCACTGCCTCCGACACCTCAGAACTGTCGACATCCACTGTGACAAGTGACGACAGAACGACGAACACACCACTGACCACTGTCATCATCTCCACACCAACAACCGACACATCCTATGCACCAACAGACATCACCTCGACAACCACAACCGCAACCACAAACACAACCACAACAACAACCACAAGCAAAACAACATGGACACCGGAAACAACAACAACAACAACAACAACAACCGTCAGCTCAGACACACCAGACAGCTATCCGTCACAGGACACAACTCACATTCCCACCTCACAATCCACAATAGCCTCGAGCACAGACATGTCGACAACCAGCTCGCCGACTTCACTCGCCACCGACACTGCAGTGACAGACACTGAATCTGCCAGCACCACTGACCAGCTCATCCACACACAGTCGACCTCCCACATCGCCGCCACCACGACGACAGACACTGCTCAGTCTGAGTCGGCCACTCCCAGTGTGACTGTCAGTGCAACCGACACAACCGACACATCGCACACAGACTCATCTCATACCACCACGGAAACAACCACCACGATCATCACCGCCAGCGTCACCGCGACTCACACGTCCACTGACACCACAGATGCTCACGCCGCCAACACCACCACCGACGAACACGACATCGGCAGCGACACCACAGACACACACACTCACACAGACACACCCACCACCGCCTCCACCAGCACGACAACATCCACAATGACCACTGACGCCACGGCTGCAAGCACCACCACCAACACAACATCAACAACAGCAACAACAACCACAACCACAACCACAACCGACCACGCCACCGACATCCACATCACCACCGATCAACAAACCACCGCCGACACACACACCGACACCCACACTGACACTGACCAATCCGATATCGCCGTCACATCCACCATCACCACGATCGACACAACGACAACTACCACTGCCTCCGACACCTCAGAACTGTCGACATCCACTGTGACAAGTGACGACAGAACGACGAACACACCACTGACCACTGTCATCATCTCCACACCAACAACCGACACATCCTATGCACCAACAGACATCACCTCGACAACCACAACCGCAACCACAAACACAACCACAACAACAACCACAAGCAAAACAACATGGACACCGGAAACAACAACAACAACAACAACAACAACCGTCAGCTCAGACACACCAGACAGCTATCCGTCACAGGACACAACTCACATTCCCACCTCACAATCCACAATAGCCTCGAGCACAGACATGTCGACAACCAGCTCGCCGACTTCACTCGCCACCGACACTGCAGTGACAGACACTGAATCTGCCAGCACCACTGACCAGCTCATCCACACACAGTCGACCTCCCACATCGCCGCCACCACGACGACAGACACTGCTCAGTCTGAGTCGGCCACTCCCAGTGTGACTGTCAGTGCAACCGACACAACCGACACATCGCACACAGACTCATCTCATACCACCACGGAAACAACCACCACGATCATCACCGCCAGCGTCACCGCGACTCACACGTCCACTGACACCACAGATGCTCACGCCGCCAACACCACCACCGACGAACACGACATCGGCAGCGACACCACAGACACACACACTCACACAGACACACCCACCACCGCCTCCACCAGCACGACAACATCCACAATGACCACTGACGCCACGGCTGCAAGCACCACCACCAACACAACATCAACAACAGCAACAACAACCACAACCACAACCACAACCGACCACGCCACCGACATCCACATCACCACCGATCAACAAACCACCGCCGACACACACACCGACACCCACACTGACACTGACCAATCCGATATCGCCGTCACATCCACCATCACCACGATCGACACAACGACAACTACCACTGCCTCCGACACCTCAGAACTGTCGACATCCACTGTGACAAGTGACGACAGAACGACGAACACACCACTGACCACTGTCATCATCTCCACACCAACAACCGACACATCCTATGCACCAACAGACATCACCTCGACAACCACAACCGCAACCACAAACACAACCACAACAACAACCACAAGCAAAACAACATGGACACCGGAAACAACAACAACAACAACAACAACAACCGTCAGCTCAGACACACCAGACAGCTATCCGTCACAGGACACAACTCACATTCCCACCTCACAATCCACAATAGCCTCGAGCACAGACATGTCGACAACCAGCTCGCCGACTTCACTGGCTATTGAAACTTCAGTCCCTATCGTGACCGTTTTTGATGGCGATTATTCATTTTCTACGAGTTCTCTTTTTGCCAATGATTCTCTTCCATATTCTTCTTTAATTGATATCGCTGCTTCGTCATATTCGCCTACTGCTGTTTCTTTGGATTTCGCTTCGTCTTCCGATTCATCTAGTTTTGTTTCTTTAGATATCTTCAATTCATCCGTGTTTTCTTCATTACCGGCTTCATCCTCTCCTGGATATATATCTGATTTGAGTTTGTCCACTTTGTCAACACATCCAATGTCCTTTGCGTCGTCTGCGTCTTCCTTATCGCCTTCGTTTACTTCAACTGTGGATTCTAGTCAATCTGGTGAGTCTAATATTCCTGAGATTGTTTTGCTTTACATATCCCTACTAGACTTCAGAAAATTCTATTTTTTTACCTAGAGCTTCTAGTTTTCGATTTCATTGTTAGATGTTATCCTGAATAAATATTTTAACTTTTTAAAAATTCAATAATCTTTTGAAGGTTTTTCTGTTTCATTTAAGTTTTTTATTTGTCCTTTTTGTTTTAGTTTTCATTAGCCTTTATTATGATTTTTACTTTAATTTTGGTAGTAATAGTATGGCTATCAATCGCTTCACTTTTTTTCATATTTATTTTATTAGTTTATCGAAAAATTTTTTTTTTTACACAATTGTGTTTCACCTGATATTGTATATGTTGATTTTAGCAATAGTCGAGAGATTATCATTATCTGGTTAACATGTTATAGCTCATTATACCTACTCATTTTATCGGATTAGTTGAATGTAATAATTAGAAGTTTGCTATTTTCTTTCATTGTGTATGTCGTGTTATTATTTATATTAGGCTTTGGAATCCATCTTAGATTTTTTCTTTAACATATTATCATATCGATTCATAAGAAAATTGACGTCTATGCTATTTTTCAAATGGTTTATAACACTACTATTTTTGATGATTATTTAAAAAAAAAATAAAATCATGAACAATTTCCCTAGTCGCTGTTGGAAATCTTATGTAGATAACTCACAAATATAAGACGGTATGCATAGAAGCTCGTGGAAATGAATAGATACATGTTAGGTGTATTTTACTAGAGAATAAATAACACTTGAAGTTGATCACTCAAAATTAGATATTACGAATTTCTGTTGTGTTGAGGATCTAATAACAATTTTATGCGTGCAATAACTTTTAAAATATATATAACCCTGTTTTAACTGATAATACTTGGCTTAGAAACATGAATAGAAGTAGGCAGTTCAAGATATTTGAAAAGTCACTAAACGTAGAATATTTTATTATGTTATTTAGTTGTACAGTGTTCTGTCTACTACATTTTTCAGTACATCATTTAACAATATGGAAAAATATCTTCCTAGACTGGCAAGATATTTAACAAAGGCTTGTGAAAATATCTAATCATTATTAGCATTTAGACAATTCATATTATTGAGAATTTCTGTGACCGCATAAAATTTGGATTCCTTTTAAACAGACAGTGAAATCATCATTATTTTCAGATCGTGGAAAACACCCATAAGGACATTAGAAACAAGACAACACGAAGTTCAGCAAATATATCTTTTCGATGATTTCATTTTCAAAAGCTGTAAAATCACATTTAAATACATAATTTTACATGGATACAATTCTTGTTTGATTCCACACAATTAGGACGGCGAATAAAAGGTGACAATTATTTTCAACTAGATATGGTCTATTTACGAGAGGCTTGGGAAACAAAATTACACAGGAATGGAACGGATAACAAATGTGTAAAAATGAGCATGGAAACAAAATTAAAATAATAATAATTTTCGACTTCAAATGGCAGTTAGGAGGTGTGAATATCGATTACAAGAGCCTTACAAACAAAAATTGCAGAAGATTAAAATATAGTTGAAAAATATTTATTTTAAACGAATTATAAATGTGAGCAGGAACAGCATGGAAACAAACTTAAACTAACTGTTTTTATTCGCCGTCGTAATTATGGAGAATCAAACAAGAACTGTATCCATGTAAAATTATGTATTTCAATGTGATTGTACAGCTTTTGAAAATGAAATCACCGAAAAAAATCATATTTTCCTTATTTCACGCTTACGATGATGTAAAATCGCTTAGTACTGATAGGATTGGATTTGATGAAACTAAAAGTATGAAGAGCAGGTAAAAACCATTAGATATTCTGGCCACTTACTAAAAACGGATTGTTTTAAAGATCACTTAAGTGTTCAACAAATACAACATGGGATATACCGAGTTGTCTTAAAGTGTCAGCTGTCCTTGTCAATAGTATCCGCTGAAGAAAATACTAATAATACAAAACGGACGAATTATTCATGATTGATTATAAAATAAAGGTCTCGCTGTAAAAGTAGAGAATATGAGTCAGCATACAGATAAGGGTATTGATCATTCAGTAAAATGTCACCATGAGTATGAGAAATATTAAAAAAAAACTGAAAATGTGGCCGGACATATCAAGTTCCATTACATACTGCGATATTATTAATATTTTTGAATAAAAATTTCTAAGATTACTTAAATACTGTTCATTCATCTGTAATAAACATGTTTACAATTATTTCTCTTTCATTGTGCAATTATTCCACGGATCGGATGAACACGTTGTTCAAGGTGCGACTGTGCAGACGGTTACTTTGGGTAAGTCGGAAGGCGAATGTATTTCCCTTGCATTACAGTTGATAGGTAAACATTATCATTCAATTTATTTGCAATGTTGTCTGTCTAGTTGATGGAGGTAAGTAGACATGGAGATTGTTGACGAGTACACCAACCTTCGAGGCGCCATCCTATCCACAACCACATTCAATGCATACTGGATTACTCGAATTTGTGACTTTGAGGAGTGTAAAGCCATCTGTGAGAGATGGCGTTAGATGGTGTTCGTGAGGTTTGCCTACATAATTGTGGATATTGAGGGAGATGTAGTACTCTGAAAGCCATCTGTCTGATTGCTGTATGATGGAGTTTTGATGTGTTGGGGAAAACACGAAAAATGCGTCTACTTATGCAAGAGATGAGTGACTGCCTCGTAGGTCTTTGTTTTACCGAGGATCATCTACCGACCATTCAGAGAGATTTGATGATTCGACAGGTCCTGCGTACATGTATTGCGATACTGTGGAAGGGCGGTGCCCGTCGGTGGACCGGGACATGTCACAAATTGTAGAGTGATTTGTGCATGCATTACGCAGACAATTCAGGTTGGTTTAGATTTTGTGAACCAACTTGTTGAGATGTTGGATCGAAGTCGATGGACAAGTAGTCGAAGTGTGCTCAGTTGATTGGCATGTCAGTATTTTGGGAAATCATTTGAAATCCAACGTGTCACTGTGTGGCGAGACAATGGTCGAATCTTCACCTCATCTGAGGCATCAGTGAGATAGGGAAATTGGATAGTGGAAGTGAGAAAGGCTGGAGTCAACGATGTCCTCCAGGATGAATTTTAACCCTTAGTAAGACAGTCTGTTTTATTTATAGAAGTTTAATAATTTGCACTCACTCATGACAAGAAAGTGATTCTACCTCTCGCAATGATTCACTTCTCTCCTAGTGATCTCATCACCGTTGGTCAGAGAGAACAAGTCATTGGAGTGGAGTGACAGTCTTCTGGATCCGACTTCATCCTTGTTTCAGGAATACTCCACAGAAGTGTGTGATCTGGTAAGATTGTTCTCAGTTTTCCAGTTAAATTTACGTGCAAGTCATTCATTTTCAAGTTGTATGTCAAATCGTTTGATACAACTTTATTTGAGTTTCCTGCAAGTTGAATTGTTGTGAATTAGGGATTCGCAGTGAACTATGGATATACATGTATGTAAACAAGTATATATATATATATATATGAAACGGACTTGAATATTCGTTCTATGACGGGTATTCAACAACGGCTTTAGATGGAATATTTCGGCGAGTAGTAAGTTCTCTCCCATTAGCCTGTGCACACGACCGATTCGAAGAACATGGAATCTGTTATATCATCACTAACTTTGTTTGTCTTGAACCTCGTGAAGATTATCCACACTGCAACTTGATGTCAGACAGTAGCTTCGTGCTCATTCTTCTTCTTGTCAGTATTATTATCATCATTGTAATGATTAGAAGCTGACTTGTAAGTGCCTAGATAATCAGTCGAACACGACTTCTTGACAGTGGTGTGTAGCGCAAATCTTCTGACCGGTGTAGAGTGGGAGTGTTGGTTGCACACTGTTTCCCGAAATTTCTCTCAGTGGAGTGAATCAGAGACGATGGGTGAACAGAGCCCGGTCAACTTTGTATTGAAGACTCGACTGAATATGATAGGATGAATTAGATCAGATTGATGGTGATGACTGAGTTGTTCCCCGTGTCATTGTTTCCACATCTATCTACCATTCTGAGTAAAGCGATGTGACTATACTGTGACTACCTAGTGGAATCTGGCATGTTGTCATCATCCTGGTGTTTGATGACCGTTCCACAGTACAAAATTCCTGGGACGACGTTTCCTGCCAACAGGATAACTGTCCCAGTTGAGTCACACTGCAAAGCAGAGTTTCTGCTCGCTCTTAGACGCACAGTCGCACTACACCATTCGTTGGTCCCTTAACGCCTACAACACAACACCTCTTATTCACTGGCACCACGTCACATTTTCATCGATTATCATGTCCACTTAAATGTAGCAATCAATGATTGGTCTTCTTCACCTCCTTCTTCCTCTCAACCTACATCAGCTCATCAAAAGCATGACGACAGCTGATATCGAAGGACTAATCAACGTCACTTGCACCGTGGTTAGCTTTCAACGTGGATCAGTGATTGGAAACGCGGTATTAACCGTCCAACATGATATTTCCAGTGAGAACTTCTCAACAAGCAGTGTGACGGAGCAGACTGTTCTCGCCGCGATTGTCCAATACACAGAAGAACTAGTTACCAATGGTACTGGTCAGGTGTACTTTGGTGCAGCGAGCAACATTACGATAGAAGGTAATATATTTATATTTCGATTCCACTTTGTCACTTTCCTGTCCTTCGTTTCATGATCTCATTCATTGTGTTTATTCATGCTTGAATTTCTCTCGTCTTGTCTGACTTCTTCTTCGATCGTGTGTGTGTTTCACGATGACTGATATCAAACATGTGGAGTAGCTGTCTGTGAACTTTCTGAGAGTTCGTTGGCAGGGATTTGATTTAATATAGGTTTGTTGACTGGCGGACATCAGTTCGATGACCTCCGTAGAACTGGTGCCTACTGGACACGTGCTTCCATCTAGTTTGTGGCTATTCAACAGGACTCACCTATTGAGATTGGAACCTAGAAATCTTGGGTAACATGAAGAAGTCGTAGAATTTTGTTCTGACTTGTCCAGATTCGTGGAGTATGGTGGAGACGTCAGACAGTGTCAAAGAGCACTACCTATTCCTTCAGCGGAATTGATGGAAGCCGTTGTCTGACAGTACTCATCACGAATTCCAGATATGTTCTGCATGCGGTAAGAAGTTGTTGAGTATGATAATGAGCATGGAGCACAGCCGAAAACAGTGGGAGAACGCAAATCAAAATGAAAGTCGAGAAACTGAGGACATTGGGATATAAGAGAATGTGAGTAAGATAAAACTTGACAAATATGGGAATTAAGTTTGATTGGATGGAGGACGTCATGATGAGCGGAAATCAGTCAGAGAACCACTGGAACACGTGGTAGTACGAGACAGCTATTTCATCCTAGCATTGGATTCTTCAGCAGTATGCAGCCATCGGTGTTCGCAAAGTAGAACGAAAACACTGTCCAGTACTGGAAGGTGGTCAAGTGAAAATGAAAATTTGAATTCAATGAAAAATGGAAAATTGGTAAAAATTGTTAAATATAAAAAGTCATAAAAGTGAGACAAAAGAAACATAGAGAAATACGAATAAAACGAAAGGTAACTTAATACTTATCGAAAAATTGCTGAAAAACTGAGAGAATCACAAAAGATATATATAATAAAGAAACTGAAAATGACAAAAAATGAACGCTGATGCTAAAAGGACATTTTATGCACTTATATCAAAATAAAAGTGAATCTAGTGCAAATATGTATCTAGACACTTAGAACATGAGAATAATGACGTCAAATCTCAATGTATTTACACAGTGGGGACTCATCAATATTTGCAACAGAGGAATTAAAACTTTCTATGCATGTAGGCATATTCATGTATCTATATGAGAGTGTAGGCGGGGTGTGGATTTGAAACATGAAGCCCTAAAGTGAGAGTGAAATGAAGAGAAGGAAAAGAATGAATAAAAACAAAAAGACTCAGGTATGACGTGGAGACATGCCGCGCGTTCACTTGTTAAATGAAGAGAAACTTCATAAGGCCACTCAGAGAACAGCAACAGGAGGCCAAATTGAAGCCGGCGGGAATGTATCCAATGGAAGAATGAAGTGATCAGACAAAAATAATACGGTAAAACACACGAACACACACGCACCGAATAAAAAAATCAACCTCAGTTTCATCGCCAGCGTCATCATCATCGTCATCATCGTCCAAGTCGTCGTCGTCGTAGTCATCGCCCTCGTCAACCTGAAGATGAATGACTGGACAATATGAAAGTGTACAGACTCAGTGAGTATTCGTATTCTCGATTGACTGACAGGATTACTGACAATGTTGTGTCAGTGATCCGAATCCACGTGAGTGAAACTGAGATAGACAGACAGCCGGACAGACAATTTGTAATTCAGCCAGATAGATAAATAGACAAATAGTTAGATAGATATATAGATAGATAGATAGGTAGAATATAGATAGACTGATATATGTGGAATGAGGATATTGACAATAATTTGTGTCGCGTATATATTTCAGCTGTACCGGAAACCACAACGACAGTGATGGCGACAGAAGCGGCGAACACTACAATGCACAGCTCAACAACAAGTGAGTCGTTTCTTGTTCATCACCAACATATTTGAATGTGTGTATATTTATGTGTGCATGTGTATACGCGTGTGTGTAAAAGAAAGGTTAGGTGAAGAGAGGGAGAGTGATTCTGTGATAGCCAACGACAACGACAACCTCGTCCCATGTCGTGTCGACATGTCGTGCTTTCAGCTGGCCATTGAGCTGATCATTCATCGAGTCGTGCATAGACGAGCGACTTGAAGCATTTCGAAGGCGAGCATGTCGTCACTGCACGAGTCAACTTGTCACCCACTCAACTATACACCAAAACACACGAACACACTCTCACCGAATAAACTAATCAAACTCAGGCTCATCGCCAGCGTCATCATCATCACCATCGTCCTATTCGCCGTCGTCGTCGTAGTCATCGCCCTCGTCACTCTGAATATGAATGACTGGACAATATGAAAGTGTACAGACTCAGTGAGTATTCGTATTCTCGATTGACTGACAGGATTACTGACAATGTTGTGTCAGTGATCCGAATCCACGTGAGTGAAACTGAGATAGACAGACAGCCGGACAGACAATTTGTAATTCAGCCAGATAGATAAATAGACAAATAGTTAGGTGGATATGTAGATAGCTAGATAGGTAGAATATAGATAGACTGGTATATGTGGAATGAGGATATTGACAATAATTTGTGTCGCGTATATATTTCAGCTGTACCGGAAACCACAACGACAGTGATGGCGACAGAAGCGGCGAACACTACAATGCACAGCTCAACAACAAGTGAGTCGTTTCTTGTTCATCACCAACATATTTGAATGTGTGTATATTTATGTGTGCATATGTATACGCGTGTGTGTAAAAGAAAGGTTAGGTGAAGAGAGGGAGAGTGATTCTGTGATAGCCAACGACAACGACAACCTCGTCCCATGTCGTGTCGACATGTCGTGCTTTCAGCTGGCCATTGAGCTGATCATTCATCGAGTCGTGCATAGACGAGCGACTTGAAGCATTTCGAAGGCGAGCATGTCGTCACTGCACGAGTCAACTTGTCACCCACTCAACTATACACCAAAACACACGAACACACTCTCACCGAATAAACTAATCAAACTCAGGCTCACCGCCAGCTTTAACATAATCCTCACCATCGTCCTATTCGCCGTCGTCGTCGTAGTCATCGCCCTCGTCACTCTGAATATGAATGACTGGACAATATGAAAGTGTACAGACTCAGTGAGTATTCGTATTCTCGATTGACTGACAGGATTACTGACAATGTTGTGTCAGTGATCCGAATCCACGTGAGTGAAACTGAGATAGACAGACAGCCGGACAGACAATTTGTAATTCAGCCAGATAGATAAATAGACAAATAGTTAGGTGGATATGTAGATAGCTAGATAGGTAGAATATAGATAGACTGGTATATGTGGAATGAGGATATTGACAATAATTTGTGTCGCGTATATATTTCAGCTGTACCGGAAACCACAACGACAGTGATGGCGACAGAAGCGGCGAACACTACAATGCACAGCTCAACAACAAGTGAGTCGTTTCTTGTTCATCACCAACATATTTGAATGTGTGTATATTTATGTGTGCATGTGTATACGCGTGTGTGTAAAAGAAAGGTTAGGTGAAGAGAGGGAGAGTGATTCTGTGATAGCCAACGACAACGACAACCTCGTCCCATGTCGTGTCGACATGTCGTGCTTTCAGCTGGCCATTGAGCTGATCATTCATCGAGTCGTGCATAGACGAGCGACTTGAAGCATTTCGAAGGCGAGCATGTCGTCACTGCACGAGTCAACTTGTCACCCACTCAACTATACACCAAAACACACGAACACACTCTCACCGAATAAACTAATCAAACTCAGGCTCACCGCCAGCTTTAACATAATCCTCACCATCGTCCTATTCGCCGTCGTCGTCGTAGTCATCGCCCTCGTCACTCTGAATATGAATGACTGGACAATATGAAAGTGTACAGACTCAGTGAGTATTCGTATTCTCGATTGACTGACAGGATTACTGACAATGTTGTGTCAGTGATCCGAATCCACGTGAGTGAAACTGAGATAGACAGACAGCCGGACAGACAATTTGTAATTCAACCAGATAGATAAATAGACAAATAGAAGATAGGTAGATAGATAGATAGATAGATAAATAGATGATAGATAGACTGATATATGTGGAATGAGGATATTGACAATAATTTGTGTCGCGTATATATTTCAGCTGTACCGGAAACCACAACGACAGTGATGGCGACAGAAGCGGCGAACACTACAATGCACAGCTCAACAACAAGTGAGTCGTCTCTTGTTCATCACCAACATATTTGAATGTGTGTATATTTATGTGTGCATGTGTATACGCGTGTGTGTAAAAGAAAGGTTAGGTGAAGAGAGGGAGAGTGATTCTGTGATAGCCAACGACAACGACAACCTCGTCCCATGTCGTGTCGACATGTCGTGCTTTCAGCTGGCCATTGAGCTGATCATTCATCGAGTCGTGCATAGACGAGCGACTTGAAGCATTTCGAAGGCGAGCATGTCGTCACTGCACGAGTCAACTTGTCACCCACTCAACTATACACCAAAACACACGAACACACTCTCACCGAATAAACTAATCAACCTCAGGTTCATCGCCAGCGTCATCATCATCATCATCGTCGTATTCGTCGTCGTCGTCGTAGTCATCGCCCTCGTCACTCTGAATATGAATGACTGGACAATATGAAAGTGTACAGACTCAGTGAGTATTCGTATTCTCGATTGACTGACAGGATTACTGACAATGTTGTGTCAGTGATCCGAATCCACGTGAGTGAAACTGAGATAGACAGACAGCCGGACAGACAATTTGTAATTCAGCCAGATAGATAAATAGACAAATAGTTAGGTGGATATGTAGATAGCTAGATAGGTAGAATATAGATAGACTGGTATATGTGGAATGAGGATATTGACAATAATTTGTGTCGCGTATATATTTCAGCTGTACCGGAAACCACAACGACAGTGATGGCGACAGAAGCGGCGAACACTACAATGCACAGCTCAACAACAAGTGAGTCGTTTCTTGTTCATCACCAGCATATTTGAATGTGTGTATATTTATGTGTGCATGTGTATACGCGTGTGTGTAAAAGAAAGGTTAGGTGAAGAGAGGGAGAGTGATTCTGTGATAGCCAACGACAACGACAACCTCGTCCCATGTCGTGTCGACATGTCGTGCTTTCAGCTGGCCATTGAGCTGATCATTCATCGAGTCGTGCATAGACGAGCGACTTGAAGCATTTCGAAGGCGAGCATGTCGTCACTGCACGAGTCAACTTGTCACCCACTCAACTATACACCAAAACACACGAACACACTCTCACCGAATAAACTAATCAACCTCAGTTTCATCGCCAGCGTCATCATCATCATCAACGTCATCATCGTCGTAGTCGTCGTCGTCGTCATCGCCCTCGTCACCCTGAAGATGAATGACTTGACAATATGAAAGTGTACAGACTCAGTGAGTATTCGTATTCTCGATTGACTGACAGGATTACTGTGTTGAGAGCAGTCTTCTGAGCGATTGATTGACAGTAGTCTACTTTAATATCTGGGTCACTAATTTGGGCCGTGAGGAAATTTGAACAAGGCTGTTTCAATAACGAATCACAGCACACTTAGACGTGGAAATTATGCTTCGCAGATAGATGGCACTACTTTCCGAGAAATATCGATAACAACCAATCATAAGACTGGTTTTGTGTTTAACTTCCGAGAAACAACCAATCAGAAGACTGCCTTTTTCTGCTTGCATAAGCCTTATTAATGTACATAAAATATAAATAAATACGTGTTGATTTTCGTAATAAAACGATCTGTTGCCAGCCCTTGTCTTCTGTTGTTACATTTGGTGTCGCTGCCTCCAAAAAATGAAGATCCCGTGGCCAGCTGCGTTTGAAGAAGGAGACATACGGAGCTTCTTACGTGACTTCGAGGCCGTTGCTGAGCTGGTGGGTGTCAAGGAGCAGGCGGCGAAGGCAGTTGTCCTGGGGACGCTGTTGAGAGGCCGAGCGAAGGCTGCATATGACAGCGTAGACAGGTCAAATGGCACAGCGTCTTGGAAGAAATTGGTTGAACGACTAGTGTCCGAGTTTGACAGCGAAACAGACAGACAGCTAGCAATGCAGCAGTTCCGGTCAATGAAGCTTGGACCTGATGGAGACCCGCTAGTGTTGGCGGTGAAACTGACTAATCTACTTCGACGCGCGCTTCCCACTTTAGATGAAGAATCAGAAGCGCAGTTACTGTCTTCCCAATTCATCGAGAGTGTCCCAGACCACATTTCTCAGCGATTAAAACTGGTTAACGCAACGCAGCCGATGGATATTAGTGAGCTGGCGAAGGTGACCAGACAGCTGCTGAGCACAACGGTAGCCGCTATAGACCAACCAAAACCAAACGAATATGAGCAGAAAATTGAAGCATTGCAGCGGGAAGTGGCGGCGTTAAAGTTGGCTGATAGAAAAGACCGGTGTTTTGAATGCGGTAAGCCGGGACACTGGAGAAGATACTGCCCAGAAAGGCGAAAAAGAAAAAATTTCAGACGGTATAATGCTTGTTCTTTCTTTCGTATGAACCTAGATTTAGTGGGGGCTATTGAGAAAGGGGCTCTGTATTCGAAGTTGCGAGTGAATGATCGAGAAGTAGTATGTTTGATAGATACAGGGGCGGCCGTGTCGTTAATAGATAAGAATTTATGTAAGAGTGTTAGTCCGTGTTCATTGACAGTACAAACAGTAGGCGGGTATGTGTTGCGTATCACGGGTAGATCGAACTGTACGGTCGTTGTTGGTGGCTGCGAGGTGACGTTTCCTTTCATTGTTGTACCCGAACTACAGCGAACGATATTAGGAGCGGATTTTCTGCGTGAGATTGGTGCAATAATCGACACGCAAGCGAACGTGGTGATCACGAAATACGGGCATATCAACATGTATGAGACCAGCGAGATAGCAGCGATTAAGCTGTCGACGGTACACAATGTGACAGAGTTAATTAATAAATACGATCATCTGTTCACTGGAGATGGGACCCATACGGTTATTGCGATAAGGTGAATCATGAAATTCCGTTAAGTGATCCGAAAGTAAGGTCATTTTTAACGCGAAGAGTTCCATGTCATCTGGAAGGCGAAGTGGAGCGACAAGTGCAAGAGATGTTAAAAGATGATATTATTGAGGAAGCTGATAGCCCATACAACTCTCCAGTGCTGTTAGTAAAAAAAGCGAATGGGAAGTATAGATTCTGTGTTGATTTTCGACAGTTAAACAGTATGACAGAGTTAAGACCGTGTGCCATGCCAACAGTGGTAGAAACTTAGATCGCCTACAAGGTGCGAATGTGTTTTCGGTTCTCGATCTTCGCTCAGGATACTGGCAGATACCGATAAAACAAGGTGATAGAGATAAGACGGCTTTCATCGTGGGTCAGACACAATATCGATTTAAACGCATGCCGTTTGGACTAGCAGGTGCACCGTTTACGTTCAGACGACTGATGAAGCTATTACTTAGGAACTTGAAAAACGTGGAGGTTTATGGTGATGATCTCGTCATATACAGTCAAAACGAAAACGATCACGTCAACCATGTAGAAGCCGTGCTGCGACGCATCGAAGAGTTTGGACTACGCGTCAACAAAACCAAGTCCAGATAGCCAAAAAGAATGTTACTCTGTTGGGACATAAAGTGGGAAATGGTGAGATTAAACCACTGCCGGAGAAAATTTTGACGATTAAAACGATTCCAGCCCCGAATTCAAAGAGAAAACTGAGACAATTCTTGGGTAGAGCAGCGTTTTATAGTCGCTTCGTGAAGAACTTCAATGAGATAGCAGCCCCTCTATACAGGCTACTAGGTGAGCCAAAGTTTGTTTGGTCGGAAGAATCGCAGAGGACATTCGACAGAATTAAACAGCTGCTCGACCACCAACAAATGACGCTAAAACTACCTGTACCAGGAAGACAGTTCACAGTGTGCACAGATGCCAGTGACTACGCTATAGGTGCGGTCCTAAGACAGGACGAGGGAATCGTTGAGTATGCCAGTAGGGTTTTGACCCTCACAGAGAGAAAGTATTCAACGATAGAGAAAGAATGTTTAGCAATGGTATGGGCAGTCGACAAATGGAGACCTTATTTACTCGGCCGGCGGTTCCACATCGAAACTGATCATAAGCCGCTACAATTTTTGAAGACAGCGAGAGACCCACGGGGGAAGTTGTCACGGTGGATGTTGCGTCTTCAGGAGTACGATTTTACGATCTCACACGTTCCTGGAAGTGAAAATGTCTTGGCAGATTTGTTATCGAGACCAGAAGATGAGTCTGAGTTGCCCGAGGTCGCTTACGGAGTGCATGCAGTAGAACAAGACCCACTAAGACTTGCACGTAGGCAGAGGTTGGACGATACGCTGAATACAGTAATACAGGTGATCACCAACGGAATAGAAGTGGATCAAACTACGGCGAGTAAGGAGCTAACCACACTACTCAGACAGAGGGATCGACTCAGAGTGAATGCCTACGGGACTCTGACCTGGCGAGAGAACGACGGAAGCTGGCTGGCTGTCATACCTCAATCGTCGCGCCACGACATGATAGAAGAATGTCACCAGCTAGCGCATACAGGCGTGGCCAGAACGACCGACCTCCTAAGACAAAGTATGTACTGGCCAGGTATGAGAGAAGACGTAGCAAGATACGTACTTGGATGTCCACGGTGCCAGCTGATGAAAGGTGACCGGTGTATACGACCACCACTTCAGTCGATTCCAGTTACCGCGATAGGTGACTTGTGGTCCGTAGATGTCATGGGTCCATTTCCTCAGACATCCAATGGTAATCAGTACCTCTTGGTGATGACGGAACACGCGACACGATGGGTAGACGCCGTAGCAATCCCAGACCAACGTGCAAGAACCGTGACAGATGCAGTAGTTAGACACATTGTTGCAGACCACGGCGTACCGAAGACAATACTGACAGACCAAGGTCCCTGTTTCGAGAGTGAAGAGTTTACTTCCCGTTTGCAACAGCTGGGCATCAAGAGGATCAGAACGACCCCATACCATCCACAAACGAATGGCCTAACGGAGAGAAACAACCGTACACTGAAGGAGTGGCTGGCCTCGAAGGGCGGGAACTGGGAAACGGAGCTTCCACTGATTTTACTAACACATCGGGCTACCACTCAGGAAACAACGAAGAAGTCACCCTTCCAACTGATGTATGGTAGAAAACCACGATTACCGGTACACAATGAGACCTGGCCCATGCACCAAAAGTGGAGTACGACGAAATTAAAAGCAGAGAGGAAAGAGGCAGTCAAGAATGTAATACGGAAGCAGCGCAGTGATGTCGCGAAGTCTCAGATGAAAGAAAGGACGCAGTGCATTACCTTTGCAGTCGGGGACCAAGTGAAGTGTAGAGACAGGAGATATACAGTTGGAGGCGGGCTAGGTTCACGGAAACTCCTTCCAAAGTGGGAAGGACCATACACAATCACAAAAAGACGGGGTCAAGTATATACCATCCGAAGAGGTGATAAACAGAAACGAGTTAACGCCAGTCAGCTCCAAAGATGGGTACAGTGGGACAAGCCGGTCAGTAACAATCCTCAACTAGAGGATGTAGCACCCAGAAGGTCGGAACGTCTGCGCACGAAGCTATTTGACGGGGGGAGAGTGTGGTGAGAGCAGGCTGCTAGCCGATTGGTTGACACTAATCTACGTTAATGTCTAGGTCACTAATATGAGCCGAGAGAAAATATGAACAAGGCTGTTTCAACAACCAATCACAGCAAACTTAGACGTGGAAAAATATGATTCGCAGATAGATGGCACTAATATCCGAGAAATATCCATAAAAACCAATCATAAGACTGACTTTGTCTGCGCAACTTCCGAGAAACAACCAATCACAATACTGCATAATTCTGCTTCCGTAAGCCTTATTCATGCATATAAAATATACATAAATACGTGTTGATTTTCGTA